TTAGAGTGAAGGCTCAGAAGGAGACAAGTCACATTTTCTTGACTTTATATTGACTAACTTCAGTGGAAGGGAACTCAGCCACACCACAGGGAGGTGTGAGGGTCTCATTAGGTAGGTGAGCCGGTGTTCTGGGCAGGAAAAACATGACTAGATACATTTGATGATTTGCTAAACCCTATATAAGATATGCCATGGGGGAGAATAGGTGCTACTGGTTGTGTCTCTATAAAATTTGCACACTGAAGTCTTAACTGCCAATATCTTAGAATGCGACCTTATTTGTAGCTATAGTATTGACAGAGGTAATCAAGTTCAGATGAGGTCTTTAGGGAGGTCTTAACCCCAAATGTCCAGTGTCCTCAGAAGATGAAATATGAGCACAAGCACATATCAAAAAATGGGGGAAATGGCCATCTTCAAGTCCAGAAGAGAGGTCTGGGATAGAGTCTTTCCTCACGTTCCCAAAGGAAACCAACTTACCAAACCTTGAGTTTGGATTTTTTTTTTGTTTCTAGAATTGTGAGATAGTAAATTTCTGTTGTTTAAGGCACCCAATTTGTGGTACTTTGCTACAGCAAACCTAGACAACTAATCGTAAGGAGTATCTGTGGCCTGAAGGCTACTGTGGAAGCTGGTACAATAGGCTTAGCAATGGGGACCCAGGAGAAATTGAGATGAAAGCTTGCCACTGAGGGTTAAAAAGAGCTAAGAGCTGACTTTGAAGCCATTTCTCCAAGATGGCTGGAATGAGATATCAGACATCAAGTGTGGAGTTTGGCCTAGAGTTCAAGAGGACAAAGGTTCCATTTTAAAGGAAGTTGAGTAGCTAAGGAGCCAGTAGGTAGTGGGTTCTAGATCATACTATTGCTTTAGCATGATCATTAAGGAGTAGGTTTCTTCACATTACCTGATGGCTGAACGAGTTCATGGTAGACAATGATGTCTTGGGCATCATTGAGGTTGTTGACTAGAGTAGCCAGCTCTGACCCAGTGAATTTATTGGCACCATACACTGCTTCATTTTCTCCATCTATCCAGTAGACACGATCCTAAAACAGAATCCTGACAATTAGCATGTACATCCAAGATAGACACAAATCAAGTCCTAATAGGATTTGCTCGCCATTTAATGGGGTGAGATTATTGAATGTTTCTCTGGGACATTGAGTATGAAGGGTAAGGGAAGCAAGTTCAGGTTTCTTGAAGTTCCTTGAGGACTTAGTGTCTATTATGTACCAGTTATCTATTGTTCCTTCCTCTTCCCACACACCTGTTCTAAAAGTGTCTGATTAGATGTGAGCCGAACGTCTTACCTCAAATATTGTGAGTGCAAGAGGATGAGCTAGGAATTCCAGAGACTTGAGCACTATTCTCCGATCTTGGCCATCCAAGTCCACACTAGATAGCATGTGCAGCTTGGAATCGAGCCAGTAGAGGCGGCTTTTGACAAGGTCTAGGCAAGAAAATTGGCATAATATGAGCTGTTGCTGCTCTGGCTTTTATTTAAAACTACCTAAAGAATCTATTCTATTTTACAGTTTCTTCTCTATTGGGAGTTCTTAGTGGGACACCATAATACTTGTGAGGCCAGCAATAGAACCTGTAACTAACTTCATTCTCTCTGCGGGGTCCAATGTGATTTCTAAGACTCTCAAAGTCATTGACTTGGGATATGTTACATTATAGAAGGTGCTTTTAAACAGGCTTGGATTTTGCACTTCTTCCCAGATAATTCAGAAGGAAACAGATATAACAGTTATAAGTTGCCACCTAGGCAAGGCTAAGACACCCAGTTGGAAATGCATTCCTTTTGAAAAATCCCCCCAAATCAAAGATTCACTGAGTTTCCATTGCATATTAGACCAACTAGATGACAAGCCAGCTATCCTAGCACCTGTAATTTGTTAAGTCCACCCTGTTTGTTCAGCCCCTCTCTCCAGCTACAGATGGAACTAAAAGTATCATCTCAAATGTACAGTGGGCATATATTTAAACATGATCAAACTAATTAACTAATTAAACTAATTAGGGAGAAGGACATACATACCGAGTGTAATTCCATTAGGCCATTGGATGTCATCAGTCACCAGTGGGCGCCTGTCAAATCCATTCATCCCTGCTTTTTCTATTTTAGCTGGCTCGCCCCAGTCAGACCAGTAAACAAAGCTAGGGGAGTTAAATCAGAAATGTGCCTTAGTGGCTGAGAAGAAAGAAAGCTGTGACTTAAATCAAAGGCTTAAAGAGGGCACCAAACTCTTGAGTTTCAGGCTTTTAAGATAGATCCTGATGCTTAAGGCTCTAATTCTGTTCTGAGCACATGAAATTGAACAGTGAGAATATACAAGGCTTGGTGGCACAGCTCAGTGGTAGAGCTCTTGGCCACCATCTGTGAGGCTCTGGGTCTACTCTTCAGGACTACAGGAGACAGTAATGTAACTTCCATATTTTCATTCAAGTGTATCATGTACACAAGGGAGTTTTATTTAACCATAAAGAAGAAAGAAATCATGTCATTTTCATGAAAATGGAGGCAACTGGAGGTGATCATATTAGACACAGTAAGACTCCAAGAAATATCACATCTTTTCTCCTACTTGTAGATCCTGGATTTTATAGATAAGTAAAGTGTGTGTGTGTGTGTGTGAGAGAGAGAGAGAGAGAGAGAGAGAGAGAGAGAGAGAGAGAGAGAAGACATGAGATAAGGGAAGAAAGGGAGTTAGCTGGAGGGGGTAAAGAGAAATGTGTGAGGGAGGGGCTAGACAATGAACATTGCCATTGATGTCTTGAAATGGATAATTCTGTTTCTCAAGAATGCATGAGAAAAGCTTCCAACCTATGTGTCTAGCACCCAAAAGGCTAAGTGAAGGAAAACAAAGAATACAAACCCAGACAATGGGTCCACAGCTATGGAGGCAGGCTCTCGCAAGTCAGAGTTAAACAGGAACTTCCTCTTGGCTCCGTCTAGAGTAGCTACTGAAATAGTCTTAGAAGCCGCATCAGTCCAGTAGATGGTCTTGTACACCCAATCAACAGCAATGGCTGCAGGATTATAGACATTGTCGATCATTTTAAAATGTCTACCAACCTTGTCATCAATTGAGGCACTGAAACAGAATAGGTCACAAGAAATTTAAAAGTTGTCACCTTTGGACCCTGGAGAATGGACTTTCTGCTTATAAAATGGTCAAAGACTTTACTCAGAAAGATTATAGGAACCCCATCGCTCAGCACTGAAATTATTCAGCCATGTTGCTTGGGGATGGAAAATTAGCAATATTGTAGCCTATCTAATTGTGGTTATGTAATCTAGATGCAAGAAAAGCATTTGACTCAGAAGCTATTATCCCAGGTCTACAGTTCTACACTGAGGAAAAGCTACTACCATCATTTCTATTTGTAGCAAGAGAAGACAGTTGACAACTATAGAAGAAGAGACATTATGAGGAGTTCAGATGTCATCTGAAGGCATAGTCACCTTTTACTTTACGGCCAATGATTCATTCCTAAATAACAGCTGATGGTAATTTAATAGTGTTGGATTTAATACTCCCAACTAACTAGCTGGTAGACTGGAACTAGAGACAAGAGACACCCCACTCCCTACCCCAATCTTTTCCACAGGCCCGATGATAGTGGCTTTATGTCCAGATGTCAGGAATGCAAGTGAAAGTTACCTGAAGATGGCCTTTTGGCTTAGATCAGCCCAAAATAGCTTCTGAGCTGCAATGTCAGCATCTAGAGCCACCGTGTTTCTTAGTTGTTCTACAAGCTGGATGTATTCCTTCCTCTCTAAGCCAATCTTCCTGATGTCTCTCCGATTAGTGAAGATCAGACTTGGCTCTTTGCCTATAAGATATAAGACAGGTTGATTTAGTTTTGCTGTAAAGCAAGATCTTCAATGTCACCTCTTCACAGAGGAACACTTCTAAAAATACTGCTGAACATCTCAGTAGTACCCAGCCTGGAGTTCAAGCCCCATGATCCTGTAAGTACTTCTACCCTATTTAGGAAGGCAGTCCTGGGATTACAGCACTCAACAGTAGGGTGGCTGATAAACAAGTTATTTTATTTTATTTTTGCTTTGTGCTCAGTTTCAGAAGCAGAAAGGAAGCAAATATGGCGACTGTCCTAGTATCCTATGCAAAAGGAAAGACCAAGACAGATGCATAGGAAGCTAGTCTGTGTTAAGCTATCCTGATGAACTAGGAGATTAGTAGCATTGCTCTGGGGTGTGACTTTTTGTGTAGGCTGACTGCTACAGTCACCGGCTGTACCTTTTAGAATCACTAACGCATAAAGGTACCAGAACCACACCAGCCCAAGTCCATTTACCTACTGCCTTGCACACGCCAGTGGCAAGGTCCATTTGATAGCCACGACTACATTCACACTTGTAACCGCCTTTTAAGTTGATACAAATTTGACTGCAGATCCCCGGATTTTGGCATTCATCAATATCTAGGAGGGAAATTCGAATTAGTCTTGCTGTGTCTCTGCCTTACTAGATGCATGTTGCCCTTTCCCATGTCTTCCAGGGGCCAGGCTCCTTGCTTCAACTCACCTCCACAGGTTTTCCTATCTATCAGTTCAAACCCAGCTGCGCAGTCACATTCATAGCCTATAACTAGGTCTTTGCAGATATGGGAACAGCCACCGTTATTGACCAAGCATTCATTGACATCTGGAATAAAAGCATAGAAAAAGTCACCTGGCAGTTTATTCTTTGTTTTTAATATAATATTTTAGATTTAGTCTATGAGACTTCCATATAGAGATACAATGTATTTTGATCATATCTATCGCCCCATTCCCCATCCAACTCTGAAGATGGTACACAAACATCTCCCTCCCAACTTCAAGTGCTCATTTTGTTTCCTATTTTATAACCCAGGGTCCAAATTAGTATGACATCTTATTCTTAATTGATAGTGGTCTTATTCACATTTAAGCGTAGGCTGCTGATGGCCTTGCTAAGATCTGATTATTTGTTTTGTAAATAAATATCTCAGGCTGAATGATAGGCTACTAGTTAGTCATGCCGGATTTACTTGTTTTGCTATTATTTTTAGTTATCTTAAGGGGTTCCTAAAATCAGGGTTAATTTGTCACTGGGTAGAATCCCATGTCGTAACACTATCATCAAGCTTACATTAATTTGAGTTCATTCTGAATTCAATGGACCATCAAGCAGGGTCCCAACAGCATTAGCTCCGATGGATTGAATGGAACCTCCCAGCTCCCAGCCCCGGCCTCAAGCAAGCCCCACACTTACTGCATTCCTTCAGGGGCTCATCACTCCAGTCACTGCAGTCCTGCTCCTGGTCACACACTTTGCTAATGTCTATGCATTCTCCACTTCTGCACTTGAACTTTCCAGGGCCCAAGCACTGATTGACTATAAAACCAAACACGGGAGAGAAGTTCCGTTGTTGGTCTGACCAGAGAAACCAATGGTCCACCAGAGCATGCCGGGGAGAACCTCACCGTTTTTGCAGTTGACTTCATCAGAGCCGTCCACACAGTCTCGGATGCCATTGCATTGTCTGCTGCCATGGATGCAGCTGCCATCTTCACATTCAAACTGGTCAGGTCTGCAGGTTCGGGAGGCTGTGAAAGCAGGCAACACAATGGAATGAAGCCGGCCAGATGGTCCCCAGTCAAGACATGGGCGAGAACTGGAAAGTTACTTACGGCAGTTGACCTCGTCACTGCCATCCTTGCAGTCAGGATCTCCGTCACACCGCCATTTTTTGTGAATGCACTCGCCAGAGCCGCACTGGATCTCGCTGGCAGGACATTTCATATGTATCACTGGCTGGCGGCCACACTGTTCAAGAGACTCATCCGACTGGTCCGAACAGTCTGCATCATCATCACACACCCAGCTGAGGGGGATGCAGGAAGAGGTGCTGCACTGGAATTCGTGGGCGCCGCAGGTTGGTGGTGCACAGTCCAGCTCATCGCTGCCATCATCACAGTCATCCTGGCCATTGCACACAAAGTTCCTGGAGACACAGCGGCCACTGGAGCAAGTGAACTCATCAGCACTACATGTTATGTTGCCTGTTAGAGGGAAGATGTTCCATTGAAAGTGCATCAGCATTTTTTTTTTTAATTCAAGACTCTCATCACCAAATCAATATATTGATCTCCGATGATTGATTTTAGCTTTCTAACTTAAAAGCTGTAGTGCTGTTATATGGAGAGCAAGTTTCTGAAATATGACAAAACAGTTTCACGGTATAAAATAAGATGCAGCCATACTATGTATAAGAGCAGAAATAAAGGACCAAGAAAACAGTAGAAGGCTAGAAACTAATTTGAGATGAGAACCACAACTGACACTTAAAGGGACAGTGACCAATAGCGTAAGCTGGTACCAGGGACTTCTTTTGGGAAGGCAGAGTTATACCCAGACCAACCTGTTGTATGTCAGCCCAAATCACATCACTAGCTGAGAATATGCATCAGCTATACGTGGGCAAGATATAATGGATATTAAGGCACTATCCGAAAAGAAACAAACCATAGAACAGTGCACATGGTTCCTTTCTTTTGGGTCTTTTAAATAAATATTAGGAATAGGAATACCATCTTCGTAATTTTCAGGGTTTTTTTTTTTTCCATTACTAGGACCAGAATCACAGCCTAGCAACTCTGCATGCTAGTGATGACAAGGTAGTCACAGTAGCCAGTTTAGGTTTTGATTTAAATTCCTGCCAAACATACCAAAGTCACAATTTGTTGCTAATTGATAAAAGGAGACCACGACTCTCTTGGGAAGCAAAGTGTAGATTTGCAAGGGAAATGTTTTGCAGCTCCAGGGCTTGCCATGGCAATGTATGAAGCTCAATTCTATGACTGAACATGAAACTCATTGGACTAGGTGCAGCGGTATTGCCCCCACTAAGTGACTTGTACAGGCCAGGCTAGTGTTTCACCTGCAAGGACCCTGAGCTCCAGACTAGTATTTTACCTGCAACGACCCTGAGTTTCTGATTAGTGTTTCATCTGCAAGGACCCTGAACTCCCTTGGCCACTATTGCAGCCTGAAGTTAGGCCTATCAGACTCAGATTTAGACGCACTTCAAAGCAATGTTTTTCAACCTTCAGATTTTCCCTAGGGCCTCACCTTTTACATGGAACACTTCATTATAGACACTCCAAGAATATAAGTATGAAAGAGGAGGAAAGAGGGCTAGCATTCAGAGACAGGAATCATCATAGGCCACAAAGGTTAGGTAGACTTTAGGTATCTATTGGCAACAGGTTAGATCACATTTCTATGCTAATGTAACCATAGATTCTAGTTGGCAGAAATGCTTATGTCACACTCAGGTAACTTATTCCAAGAAGCTAATCTAACTAAACCTTTGAATGTCTCTGCTGGCCCCATCACCTTCTAGTTCTATTGAGCCAAATGTAAGGAAGGCCCAGGAATTACTGTCATAAAAGAAAAAAGCCCACATAGCTGCTGCCTTAACAAGGTATGCTAAATGTACTATGCTGAATATAAGCACAAAGATGATTCCCTGCTTGCTTCTATCTGCCTAGAGGATGCACCAGGCAGTGACCAATTACCAGCAAAAGGCCTTTACAGTTTTATGGTGGTTAGGAGGACCAACATTGAGCAGACAGCAAAGCTACTGAAAAGTGACTCAGTGGCAATCTGTCTTCTGGCTTAAGTTAGCATCCCTTGCCCACCTTTTTTTAGGAAAAGGGTCTTTGGGGTATGCCACTTCACACTGGTCTTCTTACCACAGTTTTCTTCATCTTCTCCATTGTCACAATCATTTTCACCATCGCATCTCCAGGACACTGGGATACACTGAGTAGAACGGGCGCCACAGCTGATTTCATTTATGCGGCATGTTCTCATATCTGTTGATGACATACAGTCTCAAAAGAGCCTCCAAACTGGTCAGTGCAAAGCTGCTGCTCCCGTGCTGCCTGGAAGTGCAACACCTGGGACTCAGTGGTCAGGTACATGGGGCACACTGACTAGTGGAAGCCAGGCAGATCCTTCGCCAGCTCCGTCCTTAGAAGCTATGCCAAGCAAGGCCACCTGGCAGGGTACCCGAGAACCTTGACCATGTCACTCCTTCAAGGTTCTGCGGCATGCTCAGTTCTGGCTTTTGTTTTACTTGGCACAGTCAAGTTGATTTGTTGGCCTGCTCCTAGTCCATTACTTATGTTTGGATATCAGTGGGCACACCAGATATTGTCACCCAATCCTGACTCTATTAAAGGTCAGGTGGGCGAAAACCTATAAGACCTTCCATGAAATCGTAGCCTTCCTAGGCCTCCATTCACATGTTTCTTTATACATGCAAAGCAGGAATGACAACATGATTTTTACCATGTCATTAACCGCTGAAACATGGTGCTGAATCTGTGTAGATCCTGTCTAGGACCCTCAGGTTTCTAACTCACTGACAAAATTGTTCACTTCTTTCTAGAAAATGCGAGTTCCACCGTGGTCATTTGAATAATTGTATCCTTAACCTAAATTTGGTTTGTGTCAATCCTATTTCTTCTGCGTCAGCAGGCCTCTACTGCAATGAGTCTCTAGACTTTTCTGCACCTTAACACTCAAATGATCCCTGTTTATTAGATTACATCACTCCTTTCTCCTGTGGTTTTGGGACTTCCCCCTGCATACTAGCCTATGGGCAGAGAGATGTAGTTGTACTTTTATGAAGTTTTTCTTATTCAGTAGCAAACTCTATGGCCCCCACGTTAGGTTACACATTTGTTAAAAATTCCTAAATGACCCTGTTACTAATTGTCTTGCTGTTTTTATAATAGCATGTTTTCATGATTTGAACATCTGTGCATTTCAAAGCTTATGTGTGACCTTCAGGAAACCTTCACATGTTGACTTAAATTCCAGGATTAGGGGACCATCTACTCAGGTATTGTCAAACAGTTGAAATCTATGCACCTAGTCAAGGAGTTCTTAATTGAATATGCTGGCGTCAGTCTTAAGTATTCAATGGCGAAGCTACCCAAGAGAATGTCAGTCTTGTTAGACTAGAGAGAGCAGTCTTTAAAGGAGATGGAATAACTGTTAATAGCTTGAATGACCTTCAAGTCAGTTGGCCTCAAGTTCAAGGCAGGCAAAGAAAAATTAATGCCAAGCAATTGATAAAGCATCACTTAGAACAGAGACAGAACAGCACGAAAGAGGTCAAGTCCAAAGCAAGTCAAGGCACACTCACGGCACTGTTCTGGGCTTTCATCAGAACCATCTTCACAGTCAGGGTCCCCATCGCACTGCCATCTGTTAGGAACACACTGACCATTTTTGCACACGAAGTCAGACTCGGCACATGTCTTCTTTACTACAAGAGTTTATTCTCTGAATTAGAATTGAAGTCAATTGCCCCAGACCCCAACTTTCATATTAGGGTAAAAACTATATTTTGGTATGTTTTCCTTTAAAATTAATGCAGAATCAGTTGGCTGATACTCAATTGTTGGCATCTAGGGAGACTTTAGAAAACTCCATTTTTTCCCCTCATAGTTTCAGAGCAGGGAGATATTTATTGGAGATACTTAGAGGACAATAAAGTCAAGGGAAGACAAATGCTGTCCACTGTCTTATGACCTAGGGACATCTTAAAATAAACTTGTCAGTTTACAGTGTTAACACCATGGATTTCTTCTAACTCATTCACAAACTCTGAGGTGTTTTTCTCCAAGTCCATTTTCTGTCCCTAAAATGGAACCCTCGAGAGTGGGCAATTTATAAAGGAAAGAAACTTCTTTCATCTCAAGGTTCTGAATGCTGGGAATCCTAAGGGCACACCATTAACACCTGCTTAGTTTGGGGTGAGGAGCTTGTGCCTTGCTTCCTAGCCCACCCTCTTTGTAATTGATCTGGTCCAGGAGAAAGGATTTATTCCCTCTCACTGATCTAATCACTTCTTAAGTGTCCTAACACCTCTCCACACCATACTATTCAAAATCACACTTCATCATGAGCTCCACAGGAGACAAACCACAGAAAAGATTCTAACAACCAAACACTCCATCCTATGACTGGCCCTTGGATAACTGTTTGCGGTGGAGTGGATATGTGTGTCTTAATAAACTTCGTATCCTGAAATCCCTACAGTGATATACTAGGAGGGAGGACTTTGGGAGTCGATTAGGCCATGAGAATGGAGCCTTCACAAGTGGGATTGGTACCCCTATTAGAAACATTAGTGCCTGTTTGCACTTGCTCTCTTTTTCTCTCAACCTACCTCTCCTTTCTCCCTCTCCTTCACTCTTTCCTTTTTTCCCCTCTCCCTCTCTCTCACCCTTTCCCTCTCTTTCTCCTTCTCCCGCTTTCTCCCACTCTCTCTTCATTTCCCCCTCGCTGTCCCCCTCTATCCCTCTCCTGCCCTCTCTCTCTCTCTCCTCTACCGTGGAGGACCCAGAAAGAAAGCAGCCATCTGAAACTCAGAAGTAGGGCTTTTATCAGACACCAGGTCTGTCACTGCTTACTTTGGGGACTTCCTAACGCCCAGAACACTAAAATCAGATTTGCATCATTTAAGGCCCCCTCCATATGGTATTTTTGTCACAGGGGTGTAAACCAAGACTGTTGCAGGGACATTCTTCACAATATATGTACTTAGTGCAGAGGTGTACTGAGGCTTTGGAACTGAATACTGCCACTCTGATGGGTCTGCTGGGGCAAAGGAACTCATCTACTAGACAAACTTAAAGCCAATTATAACACTTACAACAAGTGGTAGAACTTGGAATTCAAAGAGATTTCAGTCTTCAGCCAAGGTTTGGTTTGACATCAACCAACTGAAAGTCACTGAACCTGCCAGTATTATGGCCCATAATTCACAGCTACCTTTCAAATAGCCTAAGGCAAAATATCAATTCCACTACTAATTCTTCCTAGGGCAGGACTTAGAGTCACAATACAATGTGACATCCATTCATTAGACCAGGAAAGTAAAAACAAACAAACCGAGGCAGCTTGGTCACAGTACCCATGAAGGAGTCCCAGAATCTGGAAGTCTTGCCAAAGCAGCCAGAGAAGACACCCACACTGTGTGATTGTCTTTTTAGACAGATTCCTCCATACCTCTGTGTCTATACTTTCTGCTTAAACATCCATTTTAAAGCATCCTTCTAATCAATAGTCTGTGTTTATAAATCAGTTTGTGTTTATAAAGCCTGCAGTGTGCTGCAAATTTAAAAGAGATCCCTTGGCATGTGGGGTTTAAACTAGGTAGAGGTTTTCGAGGATAGGGCTTACTCTTAAGCCACTCTCATTTAGCTTTTAAACTTGGGAGATAGTCAGTTTGTAACATTCAATGTGGGTTGATGAATTATGATGGTCCTTTAGGGATTATTCATATCCTTGAACTACATAGCTAAGGAACCATGGAAAGCCATGCCAGCTCATAAATTCACCCCTGTTTCTAAATCACCATTATACAGTGTTAACACAGCAAATGCTATACAAGGCTGGTGTTCTCCTGAGCCCATATGGAAACAGTGACCAGGCTATAGGGCTTGCTGCTGTAATTCAACCCATGATCACCTCTGTAAGTTGCAAAAGAGAGAACAGGAGAATGGCCACAAAGAAAGAAGATGGTTTTGCAAAGTGGAAAATCTCATGATGATATGAAAGATGAGCCATGCAACAGAGAGTCTGAGCAAAGATAAAAAGGACACAACTTCACAGAGTCGTCTTTCTCAGCTCTGAACGTCCCGACAAGGGCAAAGAAAAGACGCTTGAATCACACACAGACACGCAGATACCAAGAGTTCCACTGGGGAGGGAAGCCATAAGATACTTACTTTGGGAACTCACAGAAGCAAATGACATATGGAATGTACAATCAAATTGATTATACTAGTTGTCAAGCTCAAAAGTGAGTCCTCCCAAAAGTTATAACCAAGTATAGGTTGAAGGTTAGATGGGGAAGTTAGGTAAATGTATAGTTTTTCCTCTGTTTCAAATACTCTTTTGTTTTGTTTTGTTTGTTTTTGAGACAGGGTTTCTCTGTGTAGCTTTGCAGATCAGGCTGGCCTGGAACTCATAGAGATCTGCCTGTCTCTGCCTACTGAGTGCTGAGACCAAGGGTGTGAGCCACCACTTCCGAGCAATAGATCTTTTGTTTTTTTGTGTTTTGTGTTTTGTTTTGTTTTCTTTTTTGAGACAGGGTTTCTCTGTAGCTTTGGGCACTGTCCTGGAACTCACTCAGACTAAGCTGGTCTTGAACTCACAGAAATCCAAATGCCTCTGCTGGGATTAAAGGCATGGGTCACCACCACCCTCAAATACTCAGATAAGTGCTTTGAGTACACTTGCACTTTCCCTGCTTAACCTCCACACCAGGGATCCAGCAAGAAATCTGCCCATCAATGTGTTTAATTTATCCCACCTCAAATGATGTTGCATCACTGTGCTGTTCATCCACCTCTTTCCCTTGCCCAAGCCCTTCTACCATGGAGCTGGTCAACAGTATTTATGCAGAAAGGATTTAAGAAAATCCAGTCATTGCTCCCACTATGACTCAGGTGTCTCTGCTGACTTAGATAATAAAACCTTCTATAACAGGTTTTATACAGGTAGTGTAAACATAGGTGGGGGTTGGGGATGGCTGTGGTCTGATGCATGATTTCTTGGTAGCCTTGTCCCTTACAACCAGAGAACAGCTGAAAACAGGTCCTCCTAGTGAGATATGGACCGAGAGAACTGTATTCTCTGGGCAACCTGGAAACAGCAGGGAACTCAGTGTTTCGTGGAGCAGATGGAAGTCTTTACATTAAAAGCACATGATGGAAAATGATAGTACAGGAGAACATTCTTGGTCTCGAGACTGAGGGTAAGCTTTTTCAGAATGGCCTTTCAGATCTGTCACTGTCACTTGGGTATTGCATTTGAATGATGATAAATAGGAAAGCAGGCAATGGCATAATGAACATGGCAGTCAATAAGACTCCATGTGGCCTTTATTTTTCTTCTGATCCCAAGTGTCGGGATCTGCATGGGTCTCCAACCCAGCATTGTATGTACCATCTTTCAAAAAGGCAAATGACAGTGGACACACTAATCTTGCCACTCATCATTGCTCTGGGATGTTTATAATTTGGAACAGAGGGATGAAAAGGTAAACCTCAGCTAGAATCCAAGGTCTATGGAAGCTTGACATACAGATTTTGGCTATTCTCTGTGACATGAGGTTATGGGGCCTACACACACAGGCATTTCTCACAATGAATGACCTTTTGATAGTTTCTGATCAATGCTATGCTGTTATATTTGCATTAGTTTGGGAAGAGAATGTTTTCTACTCTGCCTAATGCTTTCGAATAAGCAAGTATGAGCAGAGAATTAACAGAATCCTTATCTGATCTTTGACATGTGATGGCTTGTCATTTCCATGCCAGAGTTAGTGGACTTCTGAAACTTCAGGGGATTTTATAGCTTGCTATTTTCTTGGATCCAATTTGAAGATTTATTTGTTTTGTTTATGTATACATGTGTGTGCCTGTAGTGTGTGTGTGTGTGTGTGTGTGTGTGTGTGTGTGTGTGTGTGTGTGGGGAGAAGATGCCTAAGAA